AATTAATAAAACAATAAATAACGTAAGCGCTAGGGGCCAGGACGTTTTCTGGCCAAATAATACATTAATAAAACAACCAGTATATAACATGAGCACCAATCTTCGAATAACTTTGGCTGCCTAGTAATAAGATCTTATATTACTATTTCTTTTTTATAATTCATTTGGTAGCTAATAAGTGCGCTGGGTTATCTAGTTATTAGCACTTGTATTGTTGATTAATGACTTAGTAATTAATAATGTGGCCAGTAATAATATAAGTGCAAATCACAAGGTACGTTGGGATGTTGTCTGACCACTTTGTTGATTATTAAAGAATTATTTTATAACTTAAGTACTAACTAAGCAAGGTTACTTAAGGCGCTTTCTAGTACTTTTATTCATGAATAAAGAATTAATTCTTTCAAAAAGTGCTAATCAAAAGGTAACTTGAGGCATTTATTGGCCACTCTATTGATTATTAAGTTATTAATTAATAATATCAGGGCTAATTACTGGATATCTCTAAGCACTTATTAGATACTTTAGGAATAAAAAAAACGCTCTGGATATTGGTGCTCATGTTATTTATTGTTTTATTAATTTATAAAGTATTGAGTAGCCTTTTCGGTTACCTGGAGATTAGCACTAGTGTTATTAAATAGTTTTTAAACATTTTATAAAGCATAAAAAAGGCATCCTGAGTTATTTGTTAATTTGCGTTTGTATTGGGTGTCAACTATCGATATCGCCAATATAGTAGGATCGTGATATCAGCAACAATTTGCTATGATGTTCTGCTCAATGTTATCATTCTGGCTAATTTAGTTTATGATTTTGGCAGGGGTAGTTTAACACATACATCTTTTACAAAATTAATACAATAAACATTTTTATGGAATACTTACTCATTTTGCTTAACACAAAGTCTTCTTCACTGTCTCCTGTTCGTGAGTCAAGACAAATCTTCTCATATGTTAAAGGATTGTAGACTGGTAATACTTTACTGTTACACTATTATTATAAAGTTACACTATTACTATATTATTATAATATTATAAATATATAAAGTTAATAATAATTACTATATTATTATAAAGTTACACTTTAATTACCTTAATTGATTTAATATTTGTTACAAACTGAATTTATGAGACAAATTTTTCAATTTTTTCATAAATTTTCTCATTTTCAGACTATTGTTCATACTATAACTAAAACTGAACTCTTCTTCCATGCCAAAGCGTAAGATGATCATTAAACTCGTGCAAAATATGTGATAAAGTTTTCCTAATTTTTATACAACAATGCACTAATCCTTGGGAAGGCTGTTAATAAACATAAGACCGATTCAATCTTCCATTTATATCAAAATTTATGAAGTTTATTCAACAACAAATGCTGAATAAATTATCTTAGATGACAACTTATATTGTGCCTGCTAGAGCACAGTTTATCGTAAAAAAACACACAAATATCTTTTTTATGAATTTATAACGAAAAGTCGTAGGTTTTGAAGTATCAAACAAGTAGCTGTTTATATTTCTCAACGTAGAAGAAATCAGTAAAAATTATAAAATAATCGAAGATTCTGTATGACTTTAATTTTAAATGAAGCATCTACGTATGTGATGAAAATATGTCAAAGTGGTTTTTTAAATTGTTTTTGGAAGATCTAGGAGTTTTTTAAAATGATGAATCACACAAAAGATCTTTTGGTCCAATTATCGATCATTTCATACGTAATTTAAGTCGATTAATAAAAAAAAAAAAACTAGGACTCAAACAAATACGTCTTTTCAGTGTTTTTATTTTTTAGCGAGTTTGAAACTCAAAATGCACGCTGGGTAACAAAAATTGAATGCTTTTATAGCTACTGTGTCACCTGAACTGATAGCTATGATAAACAATGTCTTTATCAGTGGTGTCCACTATTCGAAATATTTAAAACAACGTGGGACGAAAGCAGTTTTTTCAAGTGTTATTAAAGATCTGAATGATTTATCAAACATTGGATTTAATATTTGCCTACTGAGTAATAACCACAAAGTGTATTGAAAATGTACATTGAACTTAGGTCTTGATGGTATTTGTGGTTTTCCTGAAAGTTTTTGTGACAACATTAATTGTAGATTTTGTATTGCTACAAAAAATGCGGTAGACAAAAAAATTACAAGAACAGCAAATATGTTTGACACAAAAAAAATGAAAGGTAGTTTAGCAAGTATTATTGTCAAAGAATCCTACGTTTTTGGTAAACTGGATGGATTCTATATTACTGAAAGTTTAACCGTCGACGTAACGCATAACTTGTATGACGGCATCACTGTTACATAATTTCTAAGGTTCTAGAAGGTTAAAAAAAATACAAATCATATGTCGAAACAATATTAAGAAATTTTAAGTATGGTAAAGTCAACTTAAGTAATAAGCTGCAAGAACTATAATCGCTTTGTCTAGCTAGATATTTAACTCTGATAGGTGATTTTTGTTTTGAGGGTAAGGAAAATTAAAAACTGTATATTTACTTCAAGAAAAAAGTTGAAATTTTAATATCTCCAGAATTGTCAAAGTGTTAAATAAAAAAAATTAAAATTGTTGTTTAAGAAAATAAGTATCCTTATTATAAACTAGCGGCCCCTCTCTCGGCTTCGCCCGAGACTTGCTATAGGAACACCGTAGTGTGTTGACATGTTATGTGAAATGTTTTCAGTTAAAAATTTTACATATACTCCTGACGCTTATCCGAAAAAAAATCTTCTTATTAAAAACATATTTGTTTGGAATCTATACAGTTTATTTGGTCAAATAATAAACTGTAAACATTGAAAAAATGTAATCATGCTAAACAGTACAGTGCGTTCCTTATGCCATAAAATTACCTTATGCCCTTTATAGCTGTTGGGTTCGCCCAGCGCAGACCTTGGAGAGGATCGGTGATTCCTGGTTGAATACTTAGAGTCGAGAGGGTAATATAGGGTCGTTGGACAGCGGGATTCCACACGTTGCGAAAAACAACTCCGCTCGTGATGACTGCCAGTGAACGACTGACTTGGTTTAATAGTGGCCGTCTTTAGTTGATATAGTCTTTAGTCGAAAAATCGCTTCCGGAAATGGTAGTGTATTTGTTCGCAAGGTAGTTTAAACTTAGGTGGTCCTTAAAAGAACCGATGAGATTGATGGTTAAGAAGGAAACGTGAATATTTATTATGGCCCTTAAAAGGGCCAGTGGCGAAACTTCCAGCTATTCCTTATTATTCCTGATGATGAAGAGCTGGCTGTGGGTAGCTTGACTCTTACCCTCGAAGTCTCTATGTATGGAGACTGTGATGAAGGGAGGTACGCCGCTGACCAAAGAATATCTCGTCTTGGAGTCGTTCCCCGGATAACCAAACGCGCATCGTTAGTCGATAAAAAGTGGGTATGCCGTTGGGGATACGATCACTGAGAAGGGCGCTGTTGTGGCTGCTCGTGCTCCTCAGGGCTGTCTTCCCTTGTTAACATTTGTAGCCAAAAATTTTCTGACGGTACCAGGCGATATAGTGGTACGAACACATAACTCTTATGTGTTGGAGCAGGTTGTGCTCTGGCTAGATTCATAGTGATGTTGAATCCGGTACTTTTAATGTCATTAATCCATACGACCTATTGAAATGATTATTACCTGTTATTGAGGAAGAAATGTCAGTGTAAATATTAAAGAACATTTGTATTCCTCAAAAATCATTTAAACAAAAAAAAAGCAAAGGAGCCAATAAACTTATTTTTATGTGAATAAGTAAAAACTCTATATTTTGATACTCACTCTAATGCCTACTGCATCAGGTTAAGCGATGACATCCTTATGTTAGTTAATATAGTTTTTCGGATTCATCCTTGTCTACGTGGAAAAAGATCCAGAGGAACTGACGACTAGACACACAACACTGGGTATCATGTCAAATTACTTTTTTAATGTTATAAAAAATGTAAGGTTAATTGAATTGATTTTATGGTTATAGTAGTATACAGTTAAAATAATTTAAAGTTTTAATTTAATGCATTTAAAACGGACGTATGGATCTGATTTTTTCGTTTCTTATACTTTCTGCGAAGTACGTTATTGCAATTAAAATCTTTACATCATTTCCAATGTCTTGGATGTAATAAGTACACTTGTTTTTTTCTGCAACTATTTGCGCTAAAATAAAATTATTGGATTCTTAATTTTGATTATTCAGAAATATATATGCACTATACGTACTTATGTGATAGTGTAATATATTTGAAATGTTTTACTGTGTTATCTACGCAAATAATGCATTACTCTTATTTTAAATAAATGTTAATATGCACGATATATTTTGCGTGTGGGCTTTACGCGCATCGCTTGTGCGTATCAAACTGTATGATCTAACAGTCCATACTACGTTTATATCGTCACATCTGATGCAATACATATTGGAAACCCACAATGTTTTTGTATGCACTTATGCGTATTATGTGTTATTTTTTTCCATGCACCTAATTCAAGCCAAACCTGAAATAATCTTTTAGGCATAATTAGACAATATGACAACTATATACTTACATACACATCTTATCAAATCAGGATCATACCTAACTGTTTTTAACTATGTTAAAAAAAAAAAAAAAAAAAATTTGAAGAGCAACCAAATACTTGTTTACCTAGTTGGCTTAAAATAAACTTAAGTTATCTTTTTAAAAAAAATTATGATAAACAATTAAACAAAAAATCCCTGTTTCTGTAAAAATTAAAATCCCTTGCAAGAACTGCATGACAAAGATCTAACTTTCCTCTATCTAAATTTTGGTAGTTATGGGAACACCCTTCTACTCCTTAAGTGATAACGTAGTCTATAAAGACATTTTTGAAGTAAAATTGTAGGATGAAATTATGATGAAAAGGAATTGCAAGTTTAAAATAAAAATAACTGTATAACTTAATAACAAGTAAAATAAAAATAAATGTTATCAATTTACTTATACTAGTAATGATTTGTCGTTGATGCTTTTCACAGGGTTGCTGGTACAGTTGCAGCGATTGTGACTTGCCCCTTAGAAGTAGTAAAGACACGATTGCAGTCATCTTCTGCAGGTTTTTACCCACCTGCTGTAACCAAAGAAGTAGTTTCTGGTCACACAGCGAAAAGAAGTATTCCAAATCCACAACAACGTAGGCGATTGTGTACTGGAGAGGTGAGAAGGTATGTATGCACAACAAAAATCGAAAGTTAATTGTAAACCCTTAAACTAGAAAAAGACTAAGCGATGACAATTTTTTCCAATTCAAGTAAATTACAAAATTATGTTAAGCTTTTTAACGCATTAAATATAGTTTACGACAAATGTTATGTCATTGTGTAAAATTACTTAATGTAAGAGTGTAGTAACTAAGTCCTTTTTGCTTAAGGTATTTTAATAATAATAATAATAGTA